CAGCGGAAAACAAACTTTGGTACAATGTACGTGAATTAGGCCGGTCAAATGCCGCATCGACGTTGAAGGAAGCCTCGGCCACCGGAAATCCGGCATCCTTCAGGGGTTGGGGGCACCTGAACTGCAGCGTGTTGCCCTCCACTTTTAGTGCCTCAGGGAGCTGCGAAGAAGGCGTCTGGGTTTGGTGAGCGCAACAAACAAGTTTCGCCTCCATTGAGAAAATTGTCCGTTTGAACTTCCTTGTGTGTGTGTGTTGCATACATTCACACAGAAAAAGGACAGTCGTGTGGAAAGCGAGAGGAGGAGGGAAGCAGCTTGTGACGGCCGGCAAGGCGCAGGCCAAAGAGGAGGAAACAAATCGCAGTACAATGCAGCAAGCAAACACACAAAGAAACCCGTTAAATGCCACACAAACATGCAGAAGAAAATCAAAATATAAGTTGTGGGCCCCACCCGGTAAAGTAACGAAAAAGGACTCGCGCAAGCAGAGGTACAGCAACCGCAACAATGCCCAGCAGCCGGCTGGGGTGGTTGCTGGCCGTGATGCTGAATCCCCGCACCATCCAGAGAAGAAAGACGAAATCCACAACAACAACTAAAGGAATTGGAATGCGCCATACCAAAAACACGACATATCCAAGCTTCGCCGTGTAGGTGAGACTCACAGAAGTTGCCCACGTAGCCATCGCATCCTCCTGGCCGGAGGCAACGCCATGCTGTGACTGAACACCAATCCAAACAGCTGCAACCAAGCAGAGGAAGTACTCCATACACGCATGTAGGAATAGCGTGGGCCACGTGTCGGGGTACATCATGAGCGGCAATATGTCTGAACGAAGGTTTATCACAAGCTGCAGACTATCCTCTCTACTCAAATTTCTCTCCTCCGTCGCTGAAAAAAGAAACTTGTTCTTTCTCAAGTCGGCATAAACAGACGTGATTCGCACGACATAGGCCTCTATCATGCAACAAACAACTGCCGCAAGGAATAACGACAAAAAAATATCTCGCTGATTATACAGCACATGAATCCAGGCACGCCTCTCCAACAGAACAACATCAAGCCACTTTTGAACATCAGCAAATTCATAGTACTTGTCGCAGCATTTCCCGCACATTACACACTTATCAACCATCTCCGTCTCCGGCTCAACAATTCGTTGAACAAAAGAGTTGCATTCGATGCACCTGGGCATGCTCCCCTTCACCGCTAAAACTATAAACTGACAAAAGTGAAGTAAAATACATCGCCGTACGCATGTATACAATTATAACTTTCACCCTCAGCTTCCGTGAGAATATGCGGGAAAAAGCACGCCATCAACCTCAGATTGTTGTTGTCTGGTCGATTTTATGGGGCAAACATACATTTGTACGTATACCTTGATCGCCCATCAAGCTGAAAGGCCAAGCAAGGGGGGAGTGGCGGTTTAAGTAGGCTGAGTTGAATGCCTAGATGCCACGGAGCTCGAGGTTGAGGTTGAGGTTGAATCAAAATACGATGGAGTAATGAAATAAAAAGGAAAAGAAAAAAAATAGTTCTTCGCAAACTCTATTGTTAGCTAGAATCCCCCAATCCCAGCTCCGCCTCCACCTCCGCCTCCTTGTCCTTTTCCCTTTCCTTTGATGCCTCAGAGATCCTTCGGCTGTTGTCGTTGTTTGCATCTCCCACTTCCGTCTCTGCAATACAAAAAAAAAAATAACATACAAATAATAATAATAATAAACTCAAATTTCCCCCACTTGTAGCGTCTGTCTGCGTGGAATGCAAGAAACATGTGTTCCCGCACCACATAGGAGGGTATATAACAAGGCTCGCAAGCTTTGTAATCTTGGAAGTATCCCCGCCGATGACAATGCTGTCAGCCTACCCCCTCTCACACTCCAGCCACGAAATATAGGAAAGTACTTCTGCTCGTACCACGCGAGAAAAGTACGTCCCCGGCAAACAACAGCAGAGCCAAAAAAAAAAAACACCTCGCTAAGGCTTCATTTACATCGTCAAACCACGTGCCAAGTTTGTCAGCAGATGCGTCATCAAACAAAACCATTGAAGTGGACTTCCCAAGAACCGGCGCCGCCACGGCTTGAGGCACTGCGGCAATGGCATCCCCATCCTCCTCCTTGTTGCGCTTGGTCATATTTTGTCCAGCACGGCCATTGATGGGTTTTGTCAGACACGAAGCTGACATAATTTCTTCTGTGAGTTGAAAACTTGCAGGCACCATGCTGGGATGATTGGGGGCGGAGGTATACATGAAGGAAAGGATGACCCTGCTGCCCCGTTAGAGCCCTTCAAAGAGGCTCCAAAACGTGTGTGTTCATTTAAGAGGATATCACGCAACGTAGACTTAATTGATGTGTCAGACAGCTCCTGGAAACGCTACGCGGTGTACTGGTGCAGCACCGTATCTCATGCCCACGTTTTCCAAACCAGCAGAACCTCCCCATCCATTCTCACAGTCCAGGATGGACCGATCCTCCGCTGGTAAAGAAGCCCAGTCCACCCCGCCAGTGGCACTCCCGAAACGAAAATTCGACAACTTTTCACTTGACTTCGTCCTAAAACCCGCAGACTCAGCAGCATTCATTGCGTCCAACGCCGTATATCTATCCTCACCATTATTAGCAACTACAAAATAAACGGGTTTGTGGGAAGGACAGAAAACCCTGTTTTGGTGTAAACACTTAAAGTAGTTTACAATATTGACGTACAGAAAAGATCCAGTGGAATTGCCTAACTCCACGCCATAGCAGTGCGACATCTTGTGTTTCACCGCATTTCAGCATGACCGCCGAAAAATCAGAGTTTTGTATCAAAGTGTGAAAATCTATTCGTCATTATAGCCAAAGTCAAAATAACTACACATGGGTGGGATCGCCTCAAAGGACCGGCAAAGCTGCGGAAGCAATTCCTTTGGAACGCCAAAGTACTGAACCAAGAAAGAGGGCAAGTGAGCCGGAATCGTTCAAAATACGAGATGTGGCCTCCATGGCAATATCATGCAAAGTACTGGTGGCATACCAAAAACGGCACCACATATCATAATCCATCAGATAAAATCCGTCCGAGATGTTGTTCTCTCTTTCCACGGCATCCTCTCCCGTGTACCCATTAATGGTGAGCAACCGCTTCAGAAAAAAAAAAAAATCACAGCGCTCCGAGGGACACAACCAAGGCAACAAATCCTTTCCCTCCACATGCCGTCAAACAATATGACCACGACTAAGGAAATGCCGATGTTTGCCCGGCATATCACCGAAAGAAAAGTCGTACGAGGGTGCTTATATAGTTGTACAGCCCAGCAAGCGCGATTCACCAACAAATTCGGCCACCCCGTTTTCGCTTCTCTCACAGTGAAATCAACGAGTAAATTTTTTTCCGCCACAATGCCAGCACCAAAACTCGTAGTTCTGCTCTGAAACACAAACCCGTTTTTCGGAGACATAGGTAACAACCGCAACATACCCGTACGGTGATTTCCCTCAGTGCGACTGCATATCAGCAAATTTCCAACAGATGGCATTTTTTGTGATTTCGCCGTATTTCTCACGTTCCACAGGCGCCAGTGCCCCACTTGGCATGATGGTGACAACCTCACAGGCCTCCCATAAATCCTCCGCCACGAGTACCGAAGAAAATCATAGGCCTCTGCTCATAGCAAGGTAACGGCGCACAAACTTCAAGCACAACCATTTGTATTCCAGCGCATCATAATTACCAATAGCCGTCGTAGGTGTTGCAACCTCAATACGCTTAAGAGCTGAGGTGGCATATGCTCTCGCTAAAGAAACTCCCTTCACCGTTTGAAAAGACAGGGGCACCGCTGTCCGTCGTGCCGATAACTCCCCTCAAACGAGACAAGTTCCGTTTCAGATAACTTTGTACCGGGCTGTGTGGCCGTGTTGACCATGACCGCGCAAAGTTGTCGAAAGCTGTGTGGTGCTGTTACCTCGCCCAAAGGAGACGGACGGAACACACTCACACACGCAGTAAATAAAACAAAAATGAGTACCCCCCTCCATGATGATGACTTGAAAGTCACAACGCCTTGATAGCCAGCAAACTCAACAAACGACACTTCCGTCTAAAAAAAAAACAACAACAACAAGACAAACACAGCTGCTTAATGGCAACAAATTTTCCCATTTATGTATGTGAGTAAAAAATGCAAAGTGCAATGTCACAAGCAAAGCTTAACAGATGAGGTCGTGCGTGAGGCATCACGTGCTGTAAACTGCAGGGGACAAATACGCTTCTGCAGTCCTTCTCGCTCTACGGATTTTAATAGTTAGAGATTTGTCTGGTCTTGCGGGTACACGCTGAAACCAAGCAAAAATAAGCAAAAAAAAAACGCATGCTACACCGTGGCCATAGCCAAAAAAAGACATACACACACACAGACAAACACTAACTCAGCCCCGTCCAATTCCCTGCGGCCAATAATATCGATCGGCAGCCCAGCCCTATCTCTTAGCACACTTCTCTAGGCTGTCGACAAGGCAGCCTCGCGGTATAGCAGGTATCCCCCCACCGTGAAATAAACGGCAAAACAGGCCACAAGAAACGTCCCGGAAAAATCTGTCAATCGGTCCGTTGTCGATCGGGAATACAACACCTCCGCGTTCCCAAAACACTTTGCCCAAATCCCTTGGCCGTCGGGCTTCACTGTCCGCTGCACCATGCTTTGAATTATCTGAATCCACAGTGTGACTTCTGGTGTGCAAAGCAGCGCAAAAAGAAAAAAGAGACAGGGATAGAGATAGAGAGGAAGAGAATGAAAAAAAAAAGTCTATCGAAAAAAGCGTTAAGGAAGTCCCAGAAAACGTTGGCTCAAATAAGGAAAAAAAAAACGAGAAACAAACACACAAGCACACAAACAAAACAACAACGCATCAAAATTCAGGCGGAACGAGCTAACATGCACATAATCTGTTTGATGGGGGCTCAAGATCTAGGCAGCCCCACCACAAACTCTACACAAGGCCTCGAGCATTCTCTACAGTCCGGCGGTACAGCAAGTACCCTCCCACAGTCAAGTACACCGTAATGAAGGTTGCAACAAAAGCCCATACAAAGTCCACCAAACGTGGAGAGCTGAGACCACACTTTTCGTTCAGCGAATTGGTATTAGACCATGACGCGTCCCGAGAATAACCAGCAGACTTACTCCCTCCCTTTTCGGTCTTCCCCTGTGTGGCGATTGTCCGCGCCCTCGCCTTCGCCTTTTCAATGAGCTCCCGCACAGCCGCCATGTCCGGTGGGGGCAAATTGAGTTCGTCGCCAGCTGCGACAGCATCAGTCCTGCCGCGAGAACCAGAAGGTGAACGAGGCATTTTGCTCCTGTAATAAACGTACTAGCAAAGAACTACGTTTTGCAGGAAGAAGAAAAAACACGCAGACAGAAGATATCAGCTCCTCTCCAGCTTTTCATCGGTGCACTAGTGAATGCCAGGCAAAGCCAAAAACCGACCTCTCTCCGAAGCCAAGCAAAAAAGCAGGCGCAACCAGCAAGAAATGCACATACGCGCACAACAACTAAAAAAAAAAAAGAAGAAAACAAAAAAAACGTGAAGGTGAGTTTCATCTCCCTCTCACATGCACGCACCTTCTTCAGAGAATTGTGAGTGATTTGAATGCGTCCTTCCCCCTCCTTACGCATACCCACAAGCCAACGTTCATGTGGTAACAGTAGTCAGACAGCTCGCCACCCATGCGCAACAGACAAAACCTCGGCTGCCAAGCAGCTTAGCCTCACCCCACTGTTCTCGCTACAGCCGCGGGAAGCAAAGTCATCTCCCTTTTCGTTTGTCCATGTTGCATAAACTCCACGCCCAAGGACAATTGTCATCACCATCCGACAAGCAGCATTCACTGCAGCCAGACAAGTTCCGCCGCCTCACCCAAAACACTTGCCGAAAAAAGGTTAAGACGGAGTTCTCCCTCCTATTCGCCCCCTGCCTTCGAGAGAAGAATAAAAAGGTGGAAAAAGAAGCAAAAATAAAATACTGCAAAACAAAAAAAAGGGAGATTAGGGACTTCTGCGACACCAAAATAGATACACCACCACCGAATCGATGAACAAAAGGCTCAAATAAGGTAACAGAATTACTCGGCTATTAAACGCTGCTCTGCCCCTGCTCGGTATCCTTCACCCATTCTTTCGTTCCTTCGTAGTGTCCCATATTATATGTTTGTACTTTTCCTTCCTTTCGTAGCAATCTTCGTTTTTGCTGTTGTTTTTTGTTGTTGTTAATGTTCTCGGCGTGGGGTGGAGCCCGTGCATGCTTTGCAGCGCTGCTTTTTTGAAAAGAGCGCCGTAGAAAAATAGGTCCACACCGCTACCTTGTGTGCCCTGCCTTCGTGCTGCCTTTTCCCAATTTGGTACTCTTTTTCGCAGACTTTAGCTTCTTCTCGCAGGTCAAGGTGTTTCTGTGGTCTTCCTGTGCCACCCGAGAACCAACACGCTTTTTTACTGCGCCTGTAGGTTTGTCAGCCTGCTTGGCTTTTTCGGTGCACCCTGGTGAGGGTTCACGGGCCACGCAATCGTCGTCATCGTCACGTAACCGTTTCTTCTGCTCCATTGCAGGTGTCAACCGTGTGAGCAGTTGTATATCCTCCTTTGATAGCTGGAGTGCCGCTCTGTAGTCATCCACCGCCTCATTGACAAGCAGCACCTCTCGTGAAATTAGTCCAGCGTAGTGCTTGTTCAGCGCGGATCCTCTCTCGGGGTCAGAGACAACTTCAATGAATTTTCTCACAATGGAAGGCAACACCAATAGATGAGTTGTCATGGCATGCTTGGAGCATATCTCCACTGTCTCTTCCTCGTACTCATGCGTGAGCCATGTGTGACGATTCCATTCCTTGTTCTCTATCGAAAACAAGTTGTGTTGGAACCAGTTAGGAAGAAGAAATTTATTCTTTCGTTCCAAATGCGGCGTGAGAAGGTGCAGTACGATCTGATGCCCAAAGGGGCTGTTGATAACTTGCGTGAGGTGTGCCTCCAAGTCGTTTACGACGTACTTGCGTAGCAATTGAACGTCGTAGACGAGGTCAAAGAGGCGTGCGACAGCGGGTGCACCGTACTTGTCTACCGCAAAGCTGCCAAGGTTCTCGGAGAGAGCACGCAGCACTTCCTTGCGTTTTTTGGGCTCAATGAGAGAGAAGACAGTCGTCACAATCGGAGCCCCCTCGCGTGTGGTGCACAAAGCCGCCAAATGCGGCCGAAGCGTATCGCACAACTCGGCCACTTCATCCTTTCTCCCACGCTTGAGGTAGGCAGCAACCAAGCGTTGTGCAAAAGGGTAGTTGGCAGCACCCTTCTGCGAGACAAGCTTGTCACACAGCTCAAAAAGTCTAGAAAGCAGACGCTTCTGCTGCGCCACTTCTTGCTGCAGCACATCCTCCAAAACAGGGTACCCTTTCCACCGCTTCATTACGGCAACGTTGTCTTTCAGGGCTGCTAGGATAAGAATATGGCGATTGGTAGAGGTACAGAGACGGTTGCTGTATGCCGCATGAAGAACCTCGACGCCAAAGCGATGCGACACCAGCGTCGGTACCGCCGGAATGATGAGTGTGAGCAACTTGTCGAGAAAGCTATGTGGGGCGTGACGGATCAACGCGATCACCACAAAATGGCCGTAGGCGTCGGTTGCATGATCCACAAAAGACTCTGAAACCAGCGCGAGGAGACGCTCCAGCTGCGTCAACGAGGCGTATTTAATCATCGACTGTATGACACGACTCACCCGAGGTGTCTTCGCATAGATGGCGAACTTTGGCTCAATAAGCTTCAGGAGGAGATCCACCGTTGGATACTTGTGTTCGTACCGCTCCGCCTTTCTCTCTCCCACGCTTTTGGTCATCTCATCCTTCGCTGCGGGATCAGTCGACACTCGCAACACCTCCCATAGACGAACGATCTCCCCGTACTCGGAGGTCATCTTCATCGCGTGTTTTTCCGCCGCATTGAGAACCCGCCCCTCACGCTTCTTTATTAGCGCATTCTTTCGTAGTCTCTCGGTCTGTGGGAATTTCCGCAACCTCTCGGCACGCACCTCCTCCTTCTTTCTGTTAGTCTGGACCATCCCCACCCCACTACTCGTGCGCATCAAGATGAAAAGAGAGAAACAGTCCATAAAAGCAATATGCATCCAAACAGCAATAACAATAAGAAAAATAAATCATATATATATGTAGACAGACGTCAGGATTCATAAAAGCAGATAATGAATGAGCCATACGCACAGAATACCTCCGCACAGGAAGCAATGGGAGCGACCGGTATCGCAATACATAAACACACATACAAGCTATGATGACCCAGCAAGAGACCTTATGCGACGGCTTAGTTCCAGCAAGGCCTTGCACTCACATTTGGCAAGTCTTACATTGGACCAAAAATAATCCTCGTACTCGGCAACTTTCCGTGTCTGCTCCGCATACTCATCTATGGCACTCTCTATTGAAGAGAAGAGCTCCGTGACGTCCCTTTGACAGTCCGCCAAGGCGTCTTTAGCCAGGGTCAGCTCCTCGTAGTTCCTTTCAAGACAGACTGCAGCAGGAGTTGTGAGGGCTGCAGCTTGGCCCCTGTCGATTTTTCCCCACTTTGCACAAGAAGAAAGTCCCTTGCCAATATCTACGGCACATGCTTTTTTGACTACTGCAAGCTCCAACTTGTATGCCGTTCTAAGCTGGGTAACGTAGTGCCGCCAATGATTGCGAAATCCGATGTTATTAACCTCAAGCTTCTCTAAAGAGCGCTTCCGTTTTCTGTTAGGTGGCTGTACAGCTACGTTATTATTATTCGCAGTAGGACTGGAAGTTGCAGCAAGCGGAGCATCCATCGTGGCAGTAAGAGAAGCAATCAAAGTACTGCGCGAGAAGGCCACATCCTGAGTGGCATCGCAGGGAGATCTGGCATCAACCCATCGAAGAATAGCGTCAAGGGAAGTTGCCTGAGTCTCTTGCGTAAGACTGCACAACTCATCCCCGGTCTTCAGAGCACAGGCATCTCTGTGTTTGTGTGCAATTATATAACGATCCAGTGGGTTTAGAGTGTTCAACGGCAAATTGTCATCCCCCACGGTAGTCCCCGGTATATCGGCAGCTTCGCCATCAGCGCATGCGCAACCGTAGGGCCCTAACTGATCGCTCCGCACACCCAGTGACTCCAATGCGTGAACTAAAGACAGCTGCAACCGTTGGAGCCTCAGCAAAAAAAAGAGGAGAGGGTCGAGGACGCCGGCAGAGCCACCGTGACGCCGAGTTTCTTCCAATGCCACCTCAGTGATGGGCGCAGCCAATCTTTTCTCACCAATGGACGACGATGACGTCTCTTCGGCCCCGACGGATGTGCCCCTCGCCCCCCTCCTCTCCTCGCACAATAGTTTGTTTGCCCGCCGACGCATAGAAACAAATCGCAGCGGCACCCCGAGGTGCACCTGGTGGTGGGTGTTGGGGCTTGAAGGAAATCCTTCCCTTTTATCACTCAAGTTGCAATAGCACATGGAAAAACAAAAAACGGCACGGAGCGTCGCGGCACAGGTCACCAGCCAAAAAAGAGAGTTTTAACCACACACACACACACAATGAGAGAGAAAAAAGGGCTCTCACACAAACAGAAACAAACTATTACAACAACAAAAATGCACATCCACAGCAAGGCTACGCTTCTCTGCAGACGACCGGACGCGGGTCCTCGGAGCCTCATTTTGGTAATAAAAGTCGTCATGGAGGTATTTGTTGTCCCTTGCAGGGGGACCGCTGTGAGGTTGAAAGGAAGACAGATGGAAAGACGGACGGACGGGAAGCAGGTAGACAAAGACACTGACAGAGAAAAAAAAAGCAAAAAAAAACAGGGAAGGAGGAGGACGAGGAACCACGAGACTGGACTCACCTCTTTCAACGACCTGCTACAAAAACAAAACAAAAAATGGGGCCACATGAGGCGCGGCAACACGTTTCAGTGCGGCGTGTAGCTCCCACGAGCTGTACAGCAGAAAATTGCTGGGATAAAAAAAAAGAGCCACACACACTCACAGAAAAATGTTTTTTTTTCTTTTTTAAAGGGTCGCGGTGCACAGTTTCATACATATATCCAATACATGTGACATTTATTGCACACACACGCACACCTCACTCCCCCTCGCCCAAGGAATGCCATCTGACGGTGCTTCAGCAGCTAACAACAATAAAAAAGAACAAAAAAAAGGGAAGGAACAGCCATAAAAAACATATTGAAAAGGAAAATTGGCTTCCTTTCCTCAGAAACGCATATAAAGAAAAAAGAATACTTCCACTTTTTTTTTTTTTCCTTTTTGTTTCCCCTTTGTCCTCCTACTCCTCCTCCTCCATTTCCTCCTTCGCATATTTTGTGGGGCTGGTGATGGCGATGATGATGGCTCGTCGTCTTCAATCATCGCTTCTCTCGTGTTTTCGCTGTCGTTGAATGCCGTCCCGCGCATACTCCCCCCCTGTAGAGGGTAGAGAACAGGCAGGAAAAAAAAAACTAACTCTTATTCAAGTGATTATCCGCAGTGCATGAAAACCCTGTAAAAAGCTGCTGCTGCCGCGTGTTCAGTTGTGATGACTGCGCAGGCGTATTAACAACGTGTCCGGAGCTCTCAGCTGAGGCGGCAGCGCCCCCCGCATTCGCCCTCTCCGCCATCAGTTGCGCCGCCGACGGGATCGGCGTCCACTTTGGCGGCTTCACCTTCATCTCCATCACATCGTCGAGGTTGAGGCCGGTCCAAAAGGGGTGGGCCTTAATCTCTGGGGCCTTGATGCGGCGGTTGGCGTCCTTTACGAGAAGTCGGCCAATCAAGTCCTTCGCCTCCGCAGGAATCTGAACACTGCTGGGGAAACGCAGATCCGAGTAAAGAATATTGTCAAAGACCTCTCGCATGCTCTTTCCATTAAATGGCGTTCGGCCGCAAATCATACGGTACAGCAGGATACCAAACGACCAGAAATCTACGGCGCTGGTGTACTCACTCTGTTTCAGTACATCCGGCGCAACATAAAAAGGTGAACCAACAAAAGAATTCGCTCGCATGTCGTTAGCGGCTGCGTCCCCACCCTGCTTTGGGTTGTAGAAATCCTTCGAAAGACCAAAGTCAGCCAACACGCAGTGCCCATCCCCTGATAAAAGAATGTTCTCCGGCTTCAAATCGCGATAGATGACACTGTGTTCATGCAGGCATAATAACGCAAAAAGAATTTCGGCCCCGTAAAGCTTCGCCGTAAAAATGTCAAGCTGCTTTGAGGGAAGGTTGTTCATATACTTGTCAAGGTCGCCCCCAGGCATATATTCCATGACAAAGAACAACTTATGCTCCGACTGAAATGTCCAGTACAGTTTTAGCAGATACGGGTGAGTGAGACGTGACAATACATTGCGCTCAATAAATACATCGCGATATCGGTTGTGATCGAGCAGTCCCTGCTTATTTACTACTTTCATGGCGTAGTAGTCATTCGTGCCCACGCGACGCACAAGAACCACGTAGGCAAAAGAGCCTTTCCCCAGAACATCCAAACTCTCAAAATCATCTTTTGTCACCTTGTCTTGCCTTGCTGTCGCTGTACTACCGTGGTTGTTATTGACACCCCTCTTCTCGTTGACCTTATCGCGCAGACGTTCCCCATCCTTCTCCTTCTCCCTTTCCTTTTCTTTTTCTTTTTCCTTATCCTTCTTGTCCTTCCTGAAGAACTTCAAAAACATTTTCTCCCCTTTCCCCACCCCCTTGGAGCTCAGAAATATATGTAAGAAATATGATACACTCTGAAGCTTGCGTGGAGCCGATTATATATCTATATAAGCACAGAGATATGTGTGTGATAATGTACACACGAATAGTTGTGCGTGTGTGTATGCAAATGCTTCTATCTTCCTCAGCTTAAAACACAGCAATACAAATAAAAAAGGAGGCAAGAAAAAATACACACATAAGCAAAGAGTTTCATTGAACAATCAAAAAGAGATTCTGCAGCAAAGGACTTCTACACCACAGACGCTCCCTATGGGCGTAGTGCTTTACTAGTGGGACAGTTACCCCGTTTCTGCTCTTCTCCCTCGTGTCCTTGTGGTTTCTGCTGTTGATGCTCATAAAGAGGCAAACAGATGGATATATATATATATATATAATTATATCACAACGCATCCAACAACACAGAAGCGGCAAAGTGTAAAAAAGAGGGGCGTATCGGTTCCTGCATAAGCAACACAACAGCATCGTCGGCATCCGTCCCGCTAGTCTTCTTCCGCTGATTGTAAAGGTGGTAGTACCGCTCCAGAAATAGCGCGGTGTCCGACTCCACCAACAACACACCGACAGGGTCACTGGTTTGGTTCGCCGCTACAATGCAGAGACGCAATTTGAGTACGGACACAATGTGCGCTGCGGTGTGCCAGCAAAAAAGTGCCACACTGCGCGGGCACTGACTGTCGCGTAGGTGTGACAGTTTCCCTGCCGTAGTACTCTGCAGCAACCTCAAAACTGAAATCGTATGGCCGGTACTCTCCGTGTGCGCGCACCTCCATGTCGAGAGAGCATCCAACGCCACGGGAAGCCATGCCTTGAGGTACCCCACGGCAATGTCACGCAACTCATCCGCGTCCTGCGTGGCACACACCTCCCCCGTATGCGATACGAAGACATCCACGAAGGAAGCAGCCATGCGATGGATGGAACGAACCGCTGAGCGGAGTTGATACTCGAAGAAAGAAGAGGGCACCAAAATTTGCCCCTTGTCACGCAGCAGAGGATGCAGCCTCGCCAACATTGTGGTGCACGCGTGCAGGGTGGTGACAAAAAAATTCTCCGGAGACGCGAACTCCATAAACATGTCCTCACTGCTCAAATCAACCAGCAGTTTGGTGTGGACGTACAAGTGACGCAGCCGCGCCTTGATCAAAACGTACTGGTAAATGGGAAGAAGATCATCTGCGGAGCCTGATTCGAGATGCATGTGGCCCCGCGGGAGAAGCAAAAACGATTTGTCGTCAAGGGTCACTTGTGCCAGTCGTGCGGCGAGATCGATCTCCCTCGACCACCGCGCCAAAACTCGCAGCTTTCCAGTGAATGTGTGCGTGTTCCGCTCCAGCTGTTCAATGCCATGAATGGCGTCCGCGTATGGGTCAAAGAGCTGCTCCTCACTCTGCTGGCGGGCGAAAACAACGCCCATGTCGTCCTGTGTGGTGCGCTCCCGCAGCCGCTCGAGTGCGGCCGACAGCGAAACGTCCTCCTCCTTGAAGGCATGCAGGTAGAGGTTCAGGAGGACGTCGTGGGTGTCCCGAAGAACGTAATCCAAGACCCTACGCGCAACAAACATCTCAGAACTACTGTCAGCCACAGCGGCATCACCCAGCATCGCCACCACCCAGCGTTCGACAGAGCCGACAAAGGAAATAATGTCAGTCATTGCCAAGTCCACGTCGCCCACTACTATGGGGCGTCCCTTTCGTCGGTGAATGCAGCCCCCGTAGGTGTTGCGTAGATAACACCAGCCAAGTCTATTCGAACCCAACCCGGCGCTGATTTCGCTGCCTTTCCCGCAGGTCCCATAAAAAAAATAAAAACAACGGCGGAATAGCTTCAATGCGTTTCGCACGGCCCCCTGACTGCCACAAAAATCTGCAAGTACTGCCTGCACCTCTTCCTGTGTCGTTGCCCCATGAAGTCGCTCACGATATGGAGCGCAGGAATCGTACTCCTCTGCCCGTAACTCCTCAGAGGTGCCACAGAGCAGCGGTTCCCAATGAAAACATTGAAACCAACCCCGCGCATTCATGCCAGCCTGGGTACGGTTGTAGAAAGAGCCAAGAAACACACGACCGTTCGTGGGATACGTCGAACTCTTCCATGCAGCAAGAATCCTTGATCCGCACGGAAGCGTCACGTACCCCTCACCCACAAAACGACCCCGTTCCCACCCACCATCAAAAATGACACCGCCCCACCTTTCTTTCTCATGGCCTTTCATTGCCATCGTTGCATCTAACGTGGCATCGTCCTCATCGTCGTCCGTGTCAGTGTCCGCCCCCACATCAGTAGCCTGCCTCAAATACGACTCGCGCGAGAGTACAAAATTCGCCCCGTCCAGGAGGGAGCTGCAGGCATTTTGTCCCCCGTAGGAGAGAGAAAATAGTGTCCCCGTGTCGTGAAATTTACCTTCCTCAAATAGGCCCACATAGCGATCACCGCCAGACGTCACCAGACAACCAAACCCCGACGGCAAATCGTTCTCCCACTGGCCAAAGTAACGGTCGCCGTTGACTCCAACAAACTCTCCCCATCGCTCGCGCACCGGCGTGTTCGTTTGCACCCAAGTCGAGAAGTTTGACAGGCGTGTTTTTGAGCCCCGAAAAGAATGCAACGCCGCCGCGTTATTCTGCCGGAACGCAAAGTAGCCACCGTATTTGCTGCCGTCGAGGTAGTCAATGCGAGCGGGGCTCGTCAAATCTGGACGGTTCATCTTCCATTTGGACCAAAGCACGTAGCGCTCTGTCGTTAACTTTCCATCCCCGTCACGTCGACGACTGACAAATCCTCCAACGTAGCAGTGCTTGCCTGATGGCGACTCAAGTGTTCCATGGCCGTGCGGAACCATTGTTCCTCGGTCCATCTTTACCTCTCCAGAATACACATCACCACACTCCATCGCAACACACATCTTTTCTGGCTTACTCTCAGAAGAGTTGAAGGCTGCAGAGATGCCGCCTTCCTCTCGCGGCATGGAGGCACCAATACGGCAACTTTCTAATGGTAGCACTGTGGTGGTGGTGGTCGCCCGCGGTGATGGTGGGTGTGCCTTTGGCGTTGATGTCCTTCCCGGTGCGGTGGCTCCAAGGCCAGTACTGCGGCCCCCGCAAAGGCCGCCCGACGGCAAGAGCGGGTTTTCATCCCCCACTGCATCCCAGTCACTATCCGAGTCTTCTGTCCATCGTCTCATCAGTAAGGTGAGACCCCAGGCTGTGTATTGTGGCGCAAACGTGGAGACAAGAAGAGAAGAAAATGGAGGTAACCGCAAGAAAAATCAGACGCAGCAGGTACGCTGACTAAAAAAAAAAAATTGAAGGAAACAAAATGTCCAGCACAGTAAGCACATCTGGCCAGACAAGTACGACCCACTACTTGTGTGGCCCATCTTGCCCTACACCGCCATTTTCGTTTCCCCTCATTTCCCTGCCGCCCGCCTCGTATCGGCATCGTCGTCCTTCACCTCCTCCTTCGTATGCGCCTGCAACTCCTCTTCCGTGTCAGCCTTCGCAATTTCATCCAAGAGCTGCTGGCGGGCTCGATAGTATTCTTTTACCTCAGCCTCATCGCACCACCGCTGCTCCGTGTCCTCCTGCTGATACCAGTTAGGAACAAACAAGATGAGGGACACGACGCAGCCCACACCCACGCCGTAGAAGAGCAGGCAAACCTTCTCCAGCAAGCATCCGGCAAGCAACGAAAAGAAAAAACAAACACAAAAAATTCTTGTCACCCTCCTCGTCGCCATTCTCTGGTCCCGAAGTGACATGGGAGCAAAAAGCCCTGCAAGCCAGCGGGCTAGTGGATGGACCCCCGCCACCTGCTCCTCTTTCTGCGGCTCCATCTGAGACGTGGGCACCAAGGCTCCTCAACAATCCTGCGCAGGCCTCAGAACTACGCCCCACAAGCAACAACAAAAAAAAGAAAAAAAAGGACAGATGAATCAGACAACGTGGCCCACCAGCAAGAGATATAACAAAGGGGGGAAAAGTAAAACAGCAAAACGAACCAAATGATAAGAAAACAAAAGCAAAAACTCCTTGGCGTCATCACCTCAATGAGAAGAGTACTCCTTGTAAGAGACACTGTAAACAGTAATCCAGTGCACAAATGCGTTGGCAGCGGCCTGATGAAGCGCAACATTGGCAAGCATGGTATCGGCCCAAGGTTCCCCCAAACGTCGATAAAGAACTGTTTCCATAAAAACAATATCAGCACTGCCTTCATCTGGCATACGTTTTTTGCGCATCAACACCGCAGCAAATGTCAGTGCAAGGTGCCGCACCGACACCTCATTCATACTCTGGTGAAGAAGCAGTCCCCCGCAGAGATCAACAATCCAAAAGATCACACCACGCAAATGTGGAGGAAGCATTCCCAGATAGGTCATAGGGTCACAGGTGAACAACGAGGCTTCAAACGTGGTCGCTTCTAATTCAGCTAGCCATATCAATATTAGACCCATCAAAACATCGGGTTGGGCGTTCGTGAGAGCTGCGGGGAGTCGCGTCGCAGCATTTGGGAAGCAGGACATAAGACTAACGGCGGCAACAGCTGTCGGTAAGACACCACCAGGAGGGTAACCTGCAGGCTGTGCGCAGGAGTGCGGTAGTTCTGTGTTTCCCCAACTGTTTTGTGGTAACGAGGAACGATATGTTGCCAGCACCTCGGCGAAGTCTAGCTCTTCCTCCAATATTTCCTTCACCCGCGTCGCCTCCCGCATGACCTCACGGTTGTAAGTGGTGAAATTCCTAGACTTCCCTACCAACAAGCGAGCTACGGTTTTGCTTGTAAGTCCTTGTTGACGAATAAACTGATGCTTTAGTAGCTGCAAGACAAGGGGGCATGTGTAAACGCCGACAGGTGAATATTGTACGATGATGGGGAGGCACTGAGGGAGGCCTGTGCCAAATGGTCTTTGTTTTTCCGACACGACGGTAAACGTTACAAACACCTTCACATACGTGTTGATACTAAGCACAGCGACTGCTTCAAACAACGACATACAGTGCCTTGGAATTGGTTTCAAGGCAAGGTGAAACGTGATGGCCTCACCACCACAAAGAGTTCGCTCCTTCACACATGCGCAGCCAAGGTAGTCACCTGGAACCGACTCACCATCAATAAACGTGTGCACTTCACTTACCTTAACAAAACAGTTTGAGTCACCGTCGTTTTTCAGCGAAATCTCCGCGGAAAACTCACGTTTACCTTGCCCTTGGCTCCCCACATTCGCGTCTCCCACAAACAGGAAGTGGCAGTTGCTGACAGTGATGCGCGGCACCTTGCCTTGATACTCCGCAAGGCCTTGTCGCAGTTGGGGCAGTAGCAGTGAATCCCCAGGTTTCATCTCGGGCACCACACCGCTGCAGCGCCACTCCAACTCGCACAGTAGCTGCTGCAACGCGAGCAGCTGACACTGATAAAGCCATTGGCGGTCGGCGCTGAGGGAGAGTTGACGAATGTTAGAAAGAGCCTCTTCAGTCACGTGCGCGCGACCCGACAAATAGCCCTGAAGGAATGTGTTCAGATGTACTGGGTGAAAGGGCTGGAACTTTTCCATGGCCTTCTTAATGTCCCTTGCGGTACTTGGGGGCGGATGCGTGTTCACATTGCTGCTTCGCGAGGAAACGAGGAGAGACGACAGCTCATCTGAGGTGATGGGCATACAGCCAATAGGGAATGGCGTCGCCACATGCGTCGCAGCCCCAACGTTCACAGGCAACGTGGACACGTCCTCCATCAATCTTGCCTAGGAAAGGGACTGACACGAAAATGGAGGTGGCAGGAGCATACGAAGTAACCGGTACTCCCAAAGAGCAGGAATGCAGGCGCATACAAAAAAAGGGCCCCGACGCAAAAGAAAAAAAAAGGAGGAGGGAGAGGAGGAAAGGGCAGTTAGGTATGAGTTTAATCAGCCCATTTTATTGGGGAGGAAGTAATAAAATAAAACAAAAACGGCAGAAATAAACAAACAAGCAAACAAACGTTTCCCGCCATTCCCTAATGATGAAAAATAAGTAAGAGAAGGAGGGCACTTGGGTGTCTAACTCTAACAGAGATGCTCCATCCCCGTTCCTTC